GGGAATCTGCAATGTTTGGGAGAAATCTGGTTCGATGTTATAGAACCGCCTGTCATCATTGCATGGAATAGGGAAGGCCCCAGGGGTCTCCCACTGCTTCTTGACTACCTCTAGAAATAAATGAGGAGCAGGGATCTCCTCCTTAGCAGTTTTGGGCTCTGAAAATACCGGGCCCTGGGGCTTCTTTGCTGGCTCCCCTGCCTTGCCCCCTCCCCGCAGCTGAGCAGTGGCATGCGCCTTGCGCAGAAGAGATCGGAACAGGTTATGGGGGAAACAACCCCATGAATGTGGGGGGGGGGGTCAGGCTCCGAACTTTCCTCATCTTCAGAGAGAGCCGGATCTCGTTGAGCCTTATCCCCCATGACCGATCCCTCACTCACTAGGGAAGGAGAAACAGGGCGGCTGGCCGGTTGGGCAGTAGCCTGTGCCAGGGATGAAGTGGTTCTGAGAGCCGTGCTCTCACCCTGAGAAGCAGGATGTGGCACCTGTCGCTACAGGCCTGCAGCAACACCAGAAGCAGTGGCCCTTTCAATGAGGTTCTGAAGGCCAACAGGCAGATCCTCCATATCCAGAGAATCAGAGAGTCCCAACTAGGGCCCTCAGGAGCCTGACTATGACTGGACAGGGGTGCCTGGCCAGGGGCCTGGAAGAGTCCCTACCTTTCCGCTGAGCTCCTGGGAAGGTAATTGCCTTGAGCATCTGCCTGGTCCAGGTTCTCCATAGAGAGGAGAGGAGAATGGGGAGCCTCCCCCAAAAACTCCCCCAAGGAATCTGGGGATCCAGGAGGAGAATCCTGCCTCAGGGGGCCCTGCAGAGGTGACCTGGATCTGGAGGGGGAGGGACTGATCTTGCCCTGCAGGGCCCGCAACCTCTCAGCCTTGGAAAAGGACTTGAGTAATGCCCTGTGCCTCCTTTGCTTGGCTTTCTGGATGGCACGGAATGGGCATGAGGCATCTGAGACTTTAAGCCTTCCGGAGGAGGCAGTGGGACGCTGCCTGGAAGAAGTCCCCTCCACAGGGAACATGAGGAGGGAAGGAGATCTGTCCGTCATCACACAGCTACTTACAACCACTCCTTGTGCTTCCCTGTGATCCGCCCCTCACCTTCACTTCAGCAGCCAGAAAAAGGATCTTCACTCCCTTTGCAGCATGCCCTGATTCTTTAAACGCTGCAAATGGCGCATTCTGGGGCTGCCGCAGCTTCTCTGGGAGTCTACTTCCGCCATGCGCCTTCCCAGCCGCTTCTGGAGCTCCTCAGACGTCCGCAGCCTTCATGCTCTTCTCCGCGCTCTCCTAAGCCCCCAGCAGCGAGGCGCGCTCTGTTCTAGGGCTCCTGGAGCTGTTGGGCTGGAAACCAGAGCCCATTAGCCCCCACCAGTGCCGATCTGCCTTCTCAAGTCTCCACATGGCTGCTGGCTTAAAAACGGCCGTTGGAATGGCAACTCAGCGACCGGAGCCTCCAACCCTTGAATTTTAACCCCCAGGTAGCCGGAAAAACCACAGCTATCAGCAGGGACTTACTGGGAGGTGAAGGAAGGGTCTCCTTGTGAGAGAAGAAGCAAGCTGAGATGGTCCAGAAATGGTAAATCTGATCAGGAGTCAATAAATTTTAATATCTCTTTGGCCAGACTGGATTGAAACTGGAGTCAGAAGGGAGGAGCTCCGAGGCATGGCTTTAGCTTCAACCCAGTCTCGAGGCTAATTGGCTGTGATAATACCATCTCTGGACCATCCTGCAAACCCACTCTGGAAAACTTGAAGATCTTCCTACAGGACTGTTTGGAAAAATTTGCTTAACCTCTTGTCAGTCAAAATTGCCCAAATTTGTTCTCAGTTGGATGTCGGGCTTGTTGGAGGCCTTAAGGAGATTCCTGGGGCAGATCCTTGCCCTGCTATCCTGGATTAATTTGAACCTATTGGGTCTGGGGAAGTGAACAGAGCCCATAGGATTGTGAGCTTGGTCACTTCTCTGTGGATCCATGCTCCTCCTGGCTAGTTAAAACTGCCTGAGGGGTGTCATATGGATGCATTCTGGTAATGGTGAATTTCTCATTGTGTGAGGGTGATAGTTCACCCACTCATCATAAAACCATAGCTAGATTCTACCATATTAGACAATTGAGGAGAGGATGTGATTGAGAAGGTGGTTGGACAAAAGCTTCGAAGATCCAGACTTTGAAGTTGTATTTTTAGATGATTGTGTTTTACATGTATCGCCCTAAAGAGTATTTAGAACTTCAGTTGATATAAATTACTGTGGTGCAGACAGTTATACCACTAGAGCATGTGACACCTTAGTTCTGAAAGTGACAAGTTTGCTTCCATGTACAATTCAAGGTTTTGGTTTTGGCTTTGGCCCTTCATGGTATAGTTATTTGAGGGATCACCTCCCTCCAATCTGCTGGTCCCGTCAGGTCCAGTAGAAGTACACCCACTATTTATTTTTATTTAGGAAATTTTTATTTTCCATATATGTCCATTATCTTTTCCTTCTATGTAATTATTTATTTTGTTCCTTAAATGTTTTAAGATAAATGTTTTTTTTTAAAAAGAAAGCTTCCAGGATTTCTTTTTATTTATGCAGTGTGTGTGTAACTTTCAGCATGATAATTCCGATCATTTGTTCTTAATTATGTCAGAAGTCACTATTTGGTTGATAGTCAAGTATTTCTGAATAGAGTCACTCTTCAGAGTATTTTCATACATTTTTTGTTAGTGTGATAGAGATCTATTTTCTTTATGTTTCAGTTTCACAAACTCTCTTGGTGGCCATTTAAAGTTAAATTTAAAGTTATGATGGGCCTACTATGCTTCTCAACTGCCTGGATTTAGAGTAATTTGCTATGTCCCACAATCACATGACTATGTTTTATGACAGCTTTGCGAAAAACCTGCATTTGTGTCTGGTTTTTTTGCCAAAACTGACCCATAGTGTACAATGGGTTTGCTTAATGACTGTAGTGGTTGCTTAACAATCACCACAAAAAGTTATAAAATTGGGTTGGTCATGCAGTCTCCTTTACAGCCATTGAAACTTGCAATCACCGTGGACAGGCTCCATTACAGTCATAACTTGGGGACTAGTTGTATTGCCCTCCCCCCCATATTAGAGTATACTATACAGGTAGTCCTTAACTTACAATCACAATTGATTCCAAAATTTCAGTTGTTAAGCATGACAGTTAACTGAGTTTTGCCTCATTTACGACTTTTCTTGCCACCCCTGTTAAGTGAATCACTGCAGTGGTTAAGTTACCATATTTTTCAAAATATAAGATGCTCCGGACTATAAGACGCACATTAGCTTTAGAGGAGGAAAACAAGGGGAAAAATCTGCCTCTGCGCCCCACCCCCGTTTGCTGCAGCCTTGATCGCTGCAAAAAGACGGATGCAATAGGTGGAGGCGGTGATCCCCGCTGCCTAGAACAGCTGATCACCACACCAACCCCCCTCTCCACCCATGCAATATTCACTCTATAAGACACACAGCCATTTCCACCCACTTTTTTTGGGGGGGGGGGAAGTGCATCTTATAGTAAAAAAAATATGGTAATTTGACTTCCCCATTGACTTCGGTTGTCAGAAGGTCACGTTTCCCCAGGACACTAGAACACTCATAAATGTCTCTTGCCAAGCATCTGAATTTTGATCATGTGACCACAAGGATGCTGCAATGGCTGTGAAAAATGGTGATAAATCACTTTCATCAGTACCATTGTGAATGGTCATTAAAAGAATGGTTATAAGTCAAATACTACCTGTGTTTATTACAGTTTTCAGGAATTGGTATCTACGTTTGACTATCATAGTATGATACAGAACTTAGCTCACTGCGTATTGTGCATAAGAAACTTGATTATGCATGTAGGCCTTTGTTTTTGTGAAGAATTATATCAGAAAACCAAGGTTAAGATTCATAATGCATGTATACCATTATTATGAAGAAATATATCGGGATTATGTCTAGCTTCTTGTGCCCAAATTTTGGACTGTGATTAATCAGAAATATGTTTAAACCAACTTTATGTATTGCAATTAATGTTAAACCCAACTTATTTTGAGATGAGTTAATTTCAGTCTTGTAACAGGAGCTTTGTAGAATTATGTCTTTGTTGACATGAAAGGAGGACATTACAGTAATTGAGATTGTATGCTAACTTGAATTCGTTAATTTCTATGGTTCCCAACTGCTTGCTGTATCATTCACACATCAGGACGCAATAGCTCTGCGTTTAGGGGTATGCAAAAGGTATTGGTTCCAGAGAAGTCTGAAATGTTTATTTCTCCCTCTGAACTATGTCAGTTTGGGAGGAGCTTCTATAAGTTAAATCCTCTGAACTGGAATGAGTTTCTCCATTCAGGAATCAATGCATTTTGTACATTTCTTCACTTTAGCTTTTCCTATGGGTAAATGGTTATGATGGTATAAGTATAAGTAGTAGTTGCTTAACAACCCTAATTGGAACTGGAATTATGTTGCTAAGTGAAGCAGTAGTTAAGCAAAACATCACATGAGCATACTGACTTACAACCGAAGTCCCAGTTGTAGTTGTTAAGCAAATCACCCATGATAGCCACAATATTCTAGTTTTTATTGTTATTTTTACCTCTAAAAGTTTTCAATTTGTTTTTCAATTACTTATGTTATTCTGAAGTGAATAACACTGGTCTTATTTTTTAACATCTTAAAAAATGCCTTTTAATATGCATTAGATATCTCATTTCTATCTGATTTTAATGTGTTAATATAATGATAAAAATAAATATATAAATGTGTGGCTTTCTAAATCAATTGGTAGTCCCATTTGTTTGACACAACTTTCCTACAGCTTAATTTAAATCTTAATATGTTGAAAAACTTTAAAACTTTAAAATAGGGAAACAATATTTTTAATGCTTCTGAAACATTTAAATTGTTATTATTTAACCATTTATTTTTAGTAGAGCATATAAGAAACTAAACACTTCATGATAGTTAATAGTACCATTATTTTTCTTTAGTATCAGATACTGACGGTGGTGATGGCTTGCAACTCAGAAAGGAACATGCACTCAAGATTTTTGCTTATATCAATTCTTGGACACAAAGGTAAATCTGTTTATTTAGCCCTTATTGATGATGCAGCTACCTGGATATGTGTGTGTATACAAGCAATCTGAATAGTAAAAGTGGTAAATATGGATAAGTTGATATAAAAATAATCTGTTTCATTTTTTTATGTAATTCTGTAATAAACAGATAAATCATTTTGGTTTACATGGTAAATTTTGCTTGAATTTTTGGTAAAAGTACAGTAGTATGGGGCTGTTATAAGTATGGGACTGCTATAAATCTGTTTTTTTGGTAGACTTTTCAATTTGTGGGACACTACATTTTTTGTAGTGTTAAAATGCTTTTTATTTACAGAACAAAAAAAGAGTAAAAACTAGCATGAAACATCTCTTCTTTCCATTGTTACAGGCACCATACATGAAGTGACTTGCTTAGCATATTTGAGAAAGTTGTTATGAACAACTCACTTTTTTAAAATGAAGTATCACTTGCATCCAGTGTTGTCTGCTAGAAAAGCAACTGTCAAAGGAGTAGATAGCCATACTTCCAAAATCTGTTCTGGTAGTTTAGTGGGCTCTCTAAAGAAGGGTGCAATTGAATGGGAAAGGTTGAAAAGAATTTCAGCTGTGATGACACAGTGGTTAGAATGTAGTATTGCAGCCTGACTTTACTCACTGCCAGGAATTCAATGGCTCAAGGTTGACTCAGCCTTCCATCCTTCCAAGGTTGGTAAAATGAGGACCCAGATTGTTGGGGGCAATATGCTGACTCTGTAAACCACTTAGAATGGGCTGGAAAGCTCTGTGAAGTGGTATATAAGTCTACTATTTCAAGTGTAGATCTACCTGTGTGGTATTGGATATAATCCATATTATTTTAAAATACACAATTTAATGTTATAGTTTTTAAAATTGGAAGGATGCCATGATATTCACTTATAATCTAAAGTAGTTAGCACAGTTATTTGTAGAACTCTGAATTTTAATTTTTATTTACCTTTCTTTAAACAGGCAGTGTCTATGCTGTTTCAAGGAATATAAGCATTTGGAGATTTTCAACCAAGTTGTGTGTGCACTTATAAATCTAGTGATTGCTCAAGTACAGGCTCTTCGGGACCAGCTGTGTAAACATTGCACTATTAACTTAGGTTCAACATGGCAAGACGAAAATAATGCATCTGATGAGCCACTGAATGTAGAAAAAGAAACTCGTGGAGAAGAAGAGAATGAAGATAGACACAAAAGTACAGAAGAAAAAATAGATTCTGGGAGAGCTTGTATCCTGACAGAAGAAGAATCTGCAGAAGGTTCTGAGGCCTTTAGCATATGGAGCACTGAGGAGAAAGAAAAACTCTTGCTTTGTGTTGCAAAAATCTTTCAGATCCAGTTTCCTCTGTATACTGCCTACAAGCATAATACACATCCCACAATAGAGGTACATGTTATCCAGAGGTTTTTGTGTGTGAAAATGACCTAAAAGTTAGCTTTAATTCTTGAGTGTTGTAAAACCTGACAATATTAAGTATCCTATTCTTTGGAGTATATTCAGTTTCAGAATCTGAAAACTTTCTTATAACTCCTAACTAGAGAGATACAAGAACGGTAGCATTTTATATAAATGCATATATAGCAGGAGAAATGAAAATACTTAGTTGATTTGAAGAACAAATTACCATGTTTGAAGTCATAATTACACTTTTACTATATTATGTCAAGCTGTAAAATTAGCTGCGGTTTGTTATGATAATTTTTAAAAATCACTAAAGTTGTACCAATATCTACATATTGGTGCAGTGTTCTCGTTCTCCCTCTCTCTCTCCCTCTCCCCTCTCTCCAACCCCCCATCCGTTAGGGTCAAGTGATACTACAAATCATTGATTCATAAAGAACCCTTAAAATAGACATGCTTTAGTTACCTTTTAATTATAGTAACATTAATTATAATTTATTTAATTTATATGCTGCCAGATTCCAAGCAAGTCTGGACAGATTTTCTAATGTAAACTCTTACTGTTTGGCAGTAATTCTTGCCTCTACATTTTCAGTTCTACCAGAGGGTCCGATCTAGTTTTGCATAACATGGGATTCAAATAACAAATGGAGACAGATATTTCAACATTTGGAAACACAGCTAAGCCATTTTTTCCCCAGTAATAAGTAATTGTGCAATTCTTTTTTTTTCTCACTCAATTTTTTTATTTATTTTTTGTTCTCTTTCATACCATTTTAAGAATACATTCACATAATTGTTCTTCTTTACATTTGTCATTCTTATACAGTTATTATTTAATAGGTTACAATATACAGTTTGGGTTGCTTTATTTACCATCGCTCCCGCCTGTTTTAACACCACCTTGTTTTCCCTTCTTTTCTCCCTCCCTCCCTTCTCTACTTCCTTCCTTTCTCCTCCTCCTTCCCCTTCCTTCTTCCCTTACCTTTCTCCTACTCCTACTCTTCCCCTTCCCACCCTCTCATCTTCCCCTCTCTTCTGTTGTCCTCTTCTTACCTCTTTCTTTCCTCCGTCTTCCTTTCATTCTCTCCTCCCTCCCTTTCTTTTCTATTGTTGTAGGTGTCTCAGATATTTCCTTGGGATGATATTTCCACAAACCAAATATAATTTGGTATCATTTCCTATTCCCTTCTCTAATCTATCCTATGTTTTCCCCTCCTTTATATCTCACTCTTGAACATATACTTACATATTTAATATTTTCTTTTCTATTCTTCCTGCCCCCCCTTTTCCATTTAACAGTGCATCGTCTGGGTTCTATATCTTTTCCCTACTTTCTTTTCTAGTTTCCTTTCTCTTGCCAATCATAAAATCTTCCCCATCTCTTGAAATACTTCGATTCCTCTTTTTCCTAGTAATTGTGCAATTCAGATTTCTTGGGGTATTGGAAAAAATCACTATGTTTCAACGACTTAAATGGATGGTACACATAATATTTGTTTTTATTCAGTAAACTTCTGCATCACTCATCTCACTTAAGTAACTGGGTGATTTACAAACAAAAAGCAGGAAAAGTGACAAAATTAAATAGTATTAAAACCAGAATTAAAAAAATTAAGATTTAGAGGTCAAAAAAGTTGTAAAAGGCAGGAGGAGTGCCTTGAAGCCACAAGATTGCATGTCACTCTTAGACTCCCATGCCAATTGACAGAGCCAGGTCTTGACATTTTTCTGGAAGGTTGGAAGACAGGGGGCCTGTCTCACCTCACCTTCCTAGATCTCACCAGCTGTATTTCTTTAGCTGATTGGGTCTGCAAAGTATCCTCATTGCTTGATCAGGTGGGATAGGTTGCTGAAATTCAGCAAAACAATTCTCAGGTGTCTTGGTGCCATGCCATGAGGAGCTTTAAAAATGATAATCTTGAATTGGACCCAGAAGCAGACTGGCACCCAGTGCAGCTTGTGTACCAGAGATGTTACTGTTACATGTCCCTCATGGGAGCACCCCAAACAGCTCATACTGTCACATTCTTTTGGATATTCGTGAATGGTAGCCCCATGTGGAGCATATTGCAGTAGTCCTTATGGGAGATGACCAAGGCATATATGATAGAAAAAAGAACCTCTTGATCCAGGACAAGGTGCAGTTGGCACACAATATGAAGTTGAGCAAAGGCAGGAACAAACATCATGAGTCCAGAAGGACTCCCAGATTATGCACCAGATCTGTAACCCTATCCAAAACCAAACATAGCAAGTCTTCAGATAAAAAAGAGGCCTCTACCTACAATTCCTCTGTCTTACTGAGATTCAGTTGAAGCCTGCTGTTCCCTATCCAGACTCCACACCTTCCAACCACCACAAAAGGGAATCCACAGCATCACTTTGTGAAAATGTACAACTACCATGTTTCCCTGAAAATAAGACAGGGTCTTGTTTTCTTTTTTACAGTTGTCCTTCAAGACATTGTTATACTATCCCCGAAATAGGTTTAAATCCTAGTTTCAGCATGTAAAGGGAGTTGTTTCCTTATGTTGGTAATTACTAAACTGAATAACTTACTAGTTTGGACAATATGTACAAATTAAAATACTATATTTTTACTGATCCTAGATGAGATACAAAGAGAGAACAGAGTAAGGGAATAATTGTATTCTGGATTTTATTTCTTGATAATTAGTATTTTCTGCTTATGTACCTTAAATTTTTACCCATTTGGAAAATTCATAATTAAATAATTTATGCTTTTTTAAACAGGATATTTCTGCACAAGAAAGCAATATATTAGGGGCATTCTGTGACATGAATGTAAGTTTTCAATTTCTATTTAAAAATGCACAGTGTCAAAAATTATAGCCTACTATTTTTGTTCATGAAAGCATTCTAGTGGCTTACGTATTGTCCTGAATTCATTTGAAATAAAGTTTAATTAAATAAGTAATATCCTTAAGCTGCATTATACTGAATCAATATTACTTTCTGCAGCCTATTTATTTTATATATCCTCTGCCTTTCTACTGTAGCAAATACTGAAGGAGGCTATTATTTAAAAAAACGAATAAAAAGTGAAAATCTGAAAATAATATGGAAATTAATAATAAAAGGCTGGGGAAAAATATATTAATCCACACAGATTATCTAAATCAAAAATTTTCAACTAGTTGGCTTGCCTGGACCCCATTGAGTGAAGAATAGTTGTTTTTGGCTGCATATAAAATGTATAATACAGTAATGTATACAAATGCACATAGTGTTAAAAGTGTATGATCTTATGCTGTAGTACTGTCACAGTACTAGCTGTCAGGGCCACATGTGACCTATGGGAAGTGGGTTGGACATGCCTGATCTAAATACTAATAGAACAAAGGCTAAATATAACTTTCAAAAGACTGCATTTCATAGCCTGGAAGCAGTCCAGGGAAGGGCTTTCTCCTATATGCTTTTTTTAAAAAGTGGGAGGTCTCTAAAGATTTATTTATTATTTGTATCCCACCTTTAAAGAGGTATCTTTAAAATACATTCTGTTATAGGATTAGGGTCTTAATGATCAGGTTCTAAGCCATTTAAGAATTTAGAGATGCCAACACCATAAATTGCCAATTAATTACTGCTTCATTTGGTGTAGATATTTCAATATAGGCATTTTATAATCTCTACAGCATAGATTGATATTTTCCTTATAGCTGCACCTATTGAACACTCACAGTGCAGTGCTCAAGATGGGGTAGAATCAAAAAATTGCCAAATCCAATTGCAAGGAAAGTTGTAGCTGATACCTTAGTCTATAACCTTCTGCATGACTGGGAATGACAGTTGGCCTTACCTGAACTGTTATTTTAAGAGGGGTTTGCAGGATGGGCCAGAGATGGTATTATCACAGCCAATTGGCCTCAAGACTGGGTTGAAGCCTCTGGGCTCCTCTCCTCTGACTCCAGTTTCAATGCAGTATGTGCTCCCAAGATCCTGAAAACAAGTCACAAAGGAGACACCTCCAACCCCC